CCTTGAGCCTGGAGTGGAGGGGGAGTTTGGCAGCAAGTTGTTTGGGGATTCGAATGGGGAAAAAGGAGTGCTGCTTCCTGGGGGCCTTTCCAAAAGGATGAAAAAGTATTTCTTTTTGTTTTAAATTTATTTTTTTTTCTTTTTTTATTTCCGACAAAAGACGCAAACCCCGCCAACCCGGAACGTCCAACACCGGGTTGTAAAACGCATGCGGACACACCTGCAGCAGCAGCAGCAGCAGCAGCAGCAGCAGTGCAGCAGCAGCAGCAGCAGCAGCAGCAGTGCAGCAGCAGCGGCAGGGCAGCAGCAGCGGCAGTGCAGCAGCAGCAGCAGTGCAGCAGCAGCAGCAGCAGTGCAGCAGCAGCAGCTAAGCCCCAAACTCTCGTAAACCCTCACAAACCCTCGTAAACCCAAACCCCAAACCCTAAACCCCAAACCCCAAACCCTAAACCCAAAACCCCAAACCCTAAACCCTAAACCCCAAACCCTAAACCCTAAACCCCAAACCCCAAACCCTAAACCCTAAACCCTAAACCCTAAACCCTAATTTACCGTGACCCAGGTCTTGCAAAGAATGATATCGGACTTGAGGACTTTGTCTTCGAAAGAAGCTCTGAAAGTTCCATCAGTTCCAATTGCCTTTTTTATTTGACCTCTTATTCCAGACACTGTTTGAATCTTTGCTCCTGCATGCAAACTGCATGCAAACTGCATGCAAACTGCATGCAAAGTGCATGCAAGTTGCATGCAAATTGCATGCAAATTGCAAGCTGCATGCAAATTGCATGCAACTTGCAAGCAAATTGCATGCAAACTGCATGAAAATTGCATGCAAATTGCATGCAGATTGCATGCAAACTGCATGCAAATGATTTTAGTTAGTGAAGTAAAATAAATAAAACAAAAAAAAATAAATAAACAAATAAACAAAATTAAAACCAGCAAAATCAGAACAAATAAAACCAAAACAAACAAAATCAAAACAAACAAACAAACAAATTAACTAAAATAAACCAAATAAAACAAACAAACAAACAAACAAATTAACCAACTAATTAATTAGCTAATTAACTAATTAACTAATTAATTAATTAGTTAATTTGTTAATTAATTAACTAACAATATTAATTAATTAATTAATTAATTAATTAATTAATTAATAATATTAATTAATTAATTAATTAATTAATTAACTAATTAATTAATTAGTTAATTAATTAACTAACAATATTAATTAGTTAACTAATTAATTAATTAATTAATAATATTAACTAATTAATTAATTAATTAATTAATTAATTAATTAATTAAAAATAAAAATAAATAAAATAAAACAAATAAGTCTCACCGAGGCACCTGTTGACTTCCAAGTGGGAGTTGAACATCCCTTTGACAAAAGCAGTTTTCTTTTGAATGCTTTTCGTCTCTCCGAGAAGTTTGAGTTTCTTTTGAATGCCGCAAGCAGCAGCAGCAGCAGCAGCAGCAGCAGCAGCAGCAGGAGCAGCAGCAGCAGCAGCAGCAGCAGCAGCAGCAGCAGCAGCTAGCGCCACCCCAGAAGCTGCCACTCTGTAGCTAGCTGGCCCCCCCTCCCGCATGGCTAGCCACGGAGTCCCCGGAGACACGAAGGGACAAAAAATAAAACAAAGACAATGTTCGTGTTCTAAGGAGTACTTCAAGTACCGAATCCTGAGACAAACAAACAACAGCTAGCTAGCTAGCTAGCTAGCTAGCTGGCTAGCTAGCTAGGGAGCTAGATAGCTGGCTAGCTAGCTAGCTAGCCATGGGGGTGGCTAGCTGGGGCGCTAGCTAGCTAGCTAGCTAGCTAACCTAGTCATCACTAGATCAGCTAGCTAGCTAGCTAGCTAGCTAGCTAACTAGCTAGCTAACTAACTAGCTAGCTAGCTAGCTAACTAACTAGCCAGCTACTCCTCCATCCACCTAGCCAGCCAGCTAGCTAGCTAGCTAGCTAGCTGGCTAGCTGGCTAGCTGGCTACTTCTCGCATATGATGGATTTTTGGACTCTCTGGATGAAATTTTTTGCTGTTTCGAACTGGAGCATTCTCGCGGAGTGAAGAGAACTCCCTGGAGGTCCAGTGGTCTCCTTTGGAGACCAGTGGACCACTGGTCTCTTTGGAAAACCACTCACCGGTTTTCCCCGCGAGTCTCGACGGCGAAGACCGGGAGGGACTGGAAGCGGCGCCAGCCGAAGCTGAAGGTGAGGACTTCGTTGGACTTGAGGACGCGCTGCTGCCAGCGGTGTTTGCGCGCGCGGAGCTGCGAAAAGCGGCACTTTTGGAGAAAAGTTGGAAATAAAATCGAATTTTGAAGACAAATTCGAATGCCTTTTTGTTGCTGCAGTCTGTGCCAGAAAGTTTGGAGAAAAAAGGAGAAAAATTGGACAAAAAAGAGACAAATTCGAGAAAAAGAGACTATTTCGAAAAAAAGAGACAAGTCCGAGAAAAAGGGACAATTTGCGAGCCTTTAACTCCAAAAAGAGACACTTTTGGAGATAATTTGAATTTAAAATTAAATTTTGAAGAAGAATTTGAATTTAAAATTAAATTTTGAAGAAGAATTTGAATTTAAAATTAAATTTTGAAGAAGAATTTGAATCTAAAATTAAAATTTGGAGACAATTTGAATTAAAATGAGAATATTTGAATTAAAATGATATTATTTGGATTAAAATAATATTATTTGGATTAAAATAAAATTATTTGGATTAAAATAAAATTTTTGTAGACTAAAATGAGATTATTTGGATTAAAATGAGATTATTTGGATTAAAATGAGATTATTTGGATTAAAAAAGATTATTTTAGATTAAAATGGTATTATTTGGACTAAAAAATATTATTTGGATTAAAAAAGATTCAGATTAAAAAAAGATTATTTTACATTAAAGGATATTATTTTACATTAAAATGATATTATTTAAATTGCAACAAGATTATTTGATTTTAAAAAAGATTGATTTTAAAGAAGATTATTTGATTTTAAAAAAGATTATTTGATTTTAAAAAAGATTATTTGATTTTAAAAAAGATTATTTGATTTTAAAAAAGATTATTTGATTTTAAAAAAGATAATTTGATTTAAAAAAGAATATTTGATTCAAAAAGATTATTTGATTTTAAGAGAATATTTGATTTTTAAAAAGAATATTTGATTTTAAAAAAGAATATTTGATTTTAAAAAAGATAATTTGATTTAAAAGGAGACAAAAGAAATAATTTGGAGACAGTTCTGAAGTGTTCAAAAAGAAAAATGCAAAAAATAAAAAATAAAATTAAAACGAAAAAAGAAACAATTAAACGAAATAAAAGATAATTAAAAGAAACAAAGAAAAATAAAAGATAATTAAAAGAAATAAAAGATAATTAGAAGAAATAAAAGATACAATTAAAAGAAATAAAAAACAATTAAGAGAATAAAAGACAATTTAAAGAGACAAAAAAGACAAATAAAATAAGCAAAAAGACAATTAGAAAAGAGAAAAAAGAAAATTAAAAAAGACAATCAAAAAAGTCAATCAAAAGAGACAAATAGAATAAAAAGAGAAACAAAAAAGAAACAAAAAAGAAATAAAAAAGAAACGAAAAAGAAATAAAAAATAAGCAAAAAAGAAACAAAAAAGCACTAAAAAAGAAGTGAAAAAGAATAAAAGACAAAAAAGCCAAAAAATAAAAGCAAAAACGAACAAAAAGAAATAAAAAGCAAAACAAAGAAAGATTAAAAATAAAAAGGGAGAAAAAGAAACAAAACAAAACAAAAAGAAATAAAAACAAAACAAAACAAATACAAAACAAAAAGAAACAAAACAAAAAGCAAATCAAATCAAATCAAACAAAACAAAACAAAACAAAACAAAACAAAATAAATAATAAAATAATTAAATAAACAAATAAATAAACAAATAAACAAACAAACAAACAAATAAATAAATAAATAAATAAATAAACAAACAAACAAAATAAATAAAACAAACAAATAAATAAAATTAAAAAATAAAAATAAAGACCTTGAGGAAGCAGCAGCGGCTTTCTTCCGGGTGGACCCCGCCGAGGACCAGTGGTCTGTTTGGGTTTTTAAAAAAACTTTCTTTCCACTTTTTTGGAATTCCTTTTAAAGTTATTTTCACAAAAGTTCCAATTCCAAAAGCCCCCAAACTCTCCTCCCCAGACCCCAGCAGCAAACCTGCTGCCCGCACACCAGCACCTGCAGCAGCAGCAGCAGCAGCAGCAGCAGCAGCAGCAGCGGCAGCAGCAGCAGCAGCAGCAGCAGCAGCGGCAGCAGCAGCAGCAGCAGCAGCGGCGAGAGACACACGTCGAGAACTCTCTTTCTTGGGAATTATTTGCTTATTACTTATTTTATTTATTTATTTTATTTTATTTATTTTATTTTATTTTATTTTATTTTATTTTATTTTATTTTATTATTTATTTGTTTGGATAAACTCTGGGCCACTTACGTGCTGCTTCCTGCAGCTCCTTTGTGTTGGCAGCACCAGCAGCAGCAGCAGCAGCAACAGCAGCAGCAGCAGCAGCAGCAGGAGTCTCTTCTGCCTTTTTTGCTGCTTCCAGCTCATCCCAGCCCCCAGTAATAAACAGCTGCCGCTGAATAACAACAACCCCACAAAAAGAGACAGCAGCAAAACACTTGCAGCAGCAGCAGCAGCAGCAGCAGCACCAGCAGCAGGGCCAAAGTGCGCAACAGCAGCAGCAGCAGCAGCAGCAGCAGGGCCAAAGTGCGCAACAGCAGCAGCAGCAGCAGCAGCAGCGCGCTCCCGCCAGCAACAGCAGCCGCTGCAGCAGCACCGCCCGCAGCAGCAGCAGCAGCAGCAGCAGCAGCAGACCTTGATGGCCTGCAGGAACTGTGGGGTCCAGAGTCCCTCTGTCTCCTTGGGATCGTTGGGATCGATCCCAAGAGCTTTATAAATTGCTGCTGCTTCTGCTGCAGCACTGTCTCCGCTTTCGAAGTCCGGGCCAAGTCCAGCAGCACTACAGGGGGCCCCCAAGTTCCCATACAACTGTGGGGCCCCCGGGGGCCCCTGGGGGGCCCCCAAGGGGCCCCTCGTCCCCCTCAGACCCGCAGGTACTGTCTTCGTCCGAGTCCTCGAAAAGAGACATTTTGCTGCTGCTGGCTTTGCTGCTGCCGGGGGCCCCCGGGGGGCCCCCTGTACCCTTCGGGGGGCCCCCCGGGGGGCCCCTTGGGGGGCCCCCTGGGGGCCCCCCTGTGGCTCTATTTGGAGTGCCGTAGACCAGGTCTGCTAAGGAGACACTTTGGGATGCATTTGCATTCAAATGGTGGATTATTTTGTCTCCAGGCGCTGCTGCTGCTGCTGCTGCTGCTGCTGCTGCTGCTGCTGCTGCTGCAGCGGGGGTTTCCTCATCGGAATTTGCTGCTTCGTCTCTTCTTTTGTCTCCTTTTTTATTTTGAATTTCTTCTTCCATTTCCTCCAAATCTGAGGCCCCGCTGCTGTCAGCTGCTGCTGCTGCTGCTGCTGCTGCTGCTGCTGCTGCTGCTGCTGCTGCTGCTGTCGGGGGCCCCGAGTTGTCGAGGTAGCGCGTGGAGGACTGCAGCAGCTGCAGCTGCTGCTGCTGCAGCTGCTGCTGCAGCTGCTGCTGCGCCCCCTGCAGCTCCCGCACCATTCTTATTGCTTCTCCTGCTTCCTCTTCTTCATCCTCGCTGCTGCTGCTGCTGCTGCTGCTGCTGCTGCTGCTGCTGCTGTCTCCTTCGCTGCCGCTGCTGTCTCCGTCGCTGTCGCTCTCGCTGCTGCTGCTGCTGCTGCTGCTGCTGCTGCTGCTTTGGCGGTCTTTTATGAGTTGGGAGCGAGGGGTGAAGCCAACCTGAAAAAAAATAAAAATAAATAAATTTTAATTAAATAATTAAATAATTAAACAATTAAATAATTAATTTGTTTAATTATTTATTTATTTAAATCAATTAGTTGATTGATAATTAATTAATCAAATTCCCACTTTGATAAAATGAATTAAAAGCAAAAATGAAGAAAAAAGAAAAATAAAAAAAGAGACAAAAGGGGATATAAAGAAACAAATAATGAGGAAAATAAAAAAGAAAAAGAATTCAAAAAAGACCCGAAAAAGGCAAAGAAGGATATTAAAAAACCAGTTAATGAACAAATAAAAGACAAATAAAAGACAAATAAATGGACAAATAAAGGACAAATAAAGAGACACATAAAGGACAAATAAAGAGACAAATAAAGGACAAATAAAGAGACAAATAAAGAGACAAAAAAGAGACAAATAAAGAGCGAAAAAGATGCAAAAAGTTTTCAAAAACGAATCAAACAAAAACACAAAAAGTCCAAAAAGGAGACAAAAAGCACAAACAAGCAGACAAATAAGTGGACAAACAAAAGACAAACGCAGAGACAAAAAAAGAGACATAAAGAGAGACAAAAAGCAGCAAAAAAGAACCAAAAAAGTCGAAAAAAGATTTAAAAAAGATAAAAAAGATCAAAAAAAGATTAAAAAAAATAAAAAAAAGATAAAAAGTGGAACAGTTGGGGTGTACGTACCTTGGTGTCCGGCAGGTGTATGTACAACTCGTCGTGGTCCATTTGAAATCCCTCAATTTGCGAGTAAGGAGCGAAAATGCATTTTTGATTTTGTTTTAAAATATTTCTTTTTTTTTTCTTTTTGGACTTCAGTTCTGTGGCTTCTTCGGACTCGTTTGCTGCTGCTGCTGCTGCTGCTGCTGCTGCTGCTTCTGCTTCGTCTTCGCTGAAAAGAAGCAAAAAAAAAGAATTCAAAACAAACAAGTTATTGAATAATTGTTTTATTAGTTTTAATTAACTGTTTAATTATTTAGTTATATAATTGATTGTTTTGTTTAATTCATTGTTTAATTACTTAAACAATTAATTGTTTAAGTAATTGTTTAAGTAATTGTTTAATTGTCTAAGTAATTGTTTAATTAGTTCTTTAATTGTTTAACGAATTGTTTAATTAGTTGTTTAATTGTTTAATTAATTGTTTAATTAATTGTCTAATTAATTGTTTAATTAATTTTTTAATTAGTTGTTCAATTAATTGTTTTAATTGGTTATTTAAACAGCAGTTAATTGATTCATTTAACTAACTAATTCTTTACCTACTTGAGTTAATTAATTAATTAATTCAAATGACTAACAAACAAATTAAATTAACAAATTAACTAATTAAATTAACTAATTACTTAATTAACTAATAAACCAATTAACAAATAAACTAGTAAACTAATTAAATTAACTAATTAATTAATTAACTAATTAATTAATTAATTAATTAGTTTATTAACTAATTACTTAATTAACTAATTAATTAACTAACCAATTAACTAATTAATTAACTAATAAACTAATAAACTAATTAAACTAACTAATTAATTAACTAAACAATTAATTAACTAAGTAATTGACTAATTAATTAATTAATTAATTAATTAACTAACTAACTAATTAACTAATTAATTAACTAATTAATTAAACTAATTAATTAATTAACTAATTAATTAACTAATTAATTTAATTAATTAATTAGTTAATTAATTAACTAATTAATTAATTAACTAATTAACTTAATTAATTAACTAATTAATAACTAATTAATTTAATTAATTAATTAATTAATTAATTAATTAATTTAATTAATTAATTAATTAATTAATTAATTAATTAATTAATTAATTAATTCCTTAACTTACGAGTCCTCAGGCAGCGGGCAAGGGTCTTTGACTTTTTCGACTTTGAAAATTTCAATCAGA